AGTTGCCGGCTGGGCTTAAACCACAACACAATGTCAAGTAAAAGGAGTCAGAGACAGACTAGAATTATTCTTCCGAATCAGGAACATCAGGCCATGGGCTGTAGTCCAGTATTAAGGCTCAGGAAACTGCATCCAACTCAGACGCTCAGCTAAGTGCATCCTCAAACTGGAGTTTTACTGATGGAGCACGAATTGGAAAGAAAGAGAACCAGGACTGTTAAATCACTTGTAGAACCAGAACACTGAGAAAAGATGGCCAGAAATGTTTTTATTTTGCACAAGTATAGAACAACATAAATGTCTTTTGATGCCTTTGAGCAAAGTTCCTTAAACCCCAAGGTACATCCAAGTGTGTTAATCAATAATAACTCACCAAGCAATAATAAGACAGGTAAACAAAACTCCTAATGACGTTGCTCAAATAAATTAAAGCTGAATATTTCTGAACCATCAATAATATTAGCAGCTGCTTTTTTCAGTCTACTTTTGAAACAATGTCATCACCAACTTCACAAGATCACTTTTTTTCCTACAACTAGGTACCCTCTTTTAGACTCTCCACTAGAAAACAGGCAAACTGAATGGCCATTTTTTGAAGGGGAGCAGTAAATGTGTTTGCTTGTGCAGCACTGACTAAAGATTGAGAGCAAAAATCTTGCAGAGACAGAATAGTAAAAGATCTCTCTGACAGTCCACTGAAATTTCACTTGCTCTGCGGACAAAATACCAACGTTGCTTGGAGGTAGCCTAATAAACTGTTCCAACAATTAACAGAAAGGAGTCAAAAAATGTGGAAAAACTGTTTAAAAAAAAAAAAAAAAAAAGCAAGGCTGAAGGTTTCAAAATTTGTTCATTTTCAACATTCTCATTAAATGCCTGAATCTCCAGAACCTTGCTGTCAACTACTGAACCTTTAAAATTAAAGCTTAATCGTAAAAAACCCTCTCATAAAACACGAATAAGATCCAACGTTATCCTCAATCGAGCAATATCGACATTAAGCACTTTAACTTCCACTCTTTCTCCAGGACCTAAGCCCAGGCTTCTTCTCTTTTTCACTTTAGAAAGTTTTGCTTCTGTTATGCTTCGCACTGGAATCAAACCTGCTTTTCCCACACCAATATCAACAAAAACTCCAAATGGTGTTGCATTTTCAACTTTTCCAGTCAGAATAGCACCAACACTTAAGTCTTCAAAGCAGACTATGCTTCTCTTGAAGTCAGGTTTATCAAAATCTGTTATAAGAAACAAGAAAAAAAAGTAAGACATTGCAGAAATAGCTTGCATTATTTTCTAAGGGTTGTTTCCAGCTGATTGTTTCTAATCAAGAAGCTCTAATGTACGAGCTAATTTAGGTAGCTCTAAGGTCCCAAATACTGCTTCGTTATGTTTTTTAAATAAAGACCCATCTGTAATAAACAACGTATTTCTTGTATTTTATGAATCACTTTAAAAGACTGTGATTAATGGAGTAATAAGTATAGTGAAATACACAGTAAGAAACTATCACAAGGGGATCAGAAGGGTGTAGTATATTAGCTGGTGACTGAAAGATTCTTTAAATGTTCTTGGAGCTAGGATGAAAAGACTTGAGGTGACTCTTACTTGAGCTACATAAATTACACATACAATTCTATTTCTATACAAATTTGTATATAGGAATGTGAATAGTCAGTCTCGTCATATCCGAAAGAGAAAAGCCAGCAGTGCACTGTTCTTAGGCTTGCTGCACCATATCACACAATCAACTGCTTCCCATGACATCAAATGATAAACCGCTTCTTTGCACTGACAACTTAATCACACCTGCATGATTATAAGCAGCTAATATCCCAATATATTAAAGTTCCTATTCTGCAGTTATGGGCACAAATACAAATTTTAAACTCCTCTCACTCGCTTACCGCTTTCTGCTCCTGCAGAAAACCCTTCTGAGCCATTTCAACAACTTCCCTTTCCACCTTTTCCAAGATATAATAGAACTGAGATTTTCCACAGACAGCATCACTAAACTAGCACTGCACCCATTTTCCTGTATTTACTTTTCAGAAATAAAACACAGCCTGAACAAAGTTTTCCCCATGATAGTAATTGCTGAATCCATATCTCAATCCATGAGCCTTTTCTTGTATTTTCTCTCCCGTGTCCAGTTGAGAAGGGGAGTGATAAAGCATGGGCACCTGGCATCCAGCCAGGATCAACCCACCACAGAATCAAACCCCAGTCGAGTACACAACGAGGCAAATGCAGCAATAGGGTTTGAATTACATCAAATTT